TTTTTTTTTAAAATCAACCATCATTAACCAATAAAAAAATATAAGTGGCAATTCATGTTTGCGAGAGAAGATCGGACTTCAATTTTAATTTAAAAGTTTTAATATTCGCAATATTTTTAAAATGATAATTAATACTGTTGTAATATTTAACGGCATTGTAAATAAAGGTTCTTGAATATAAAACAGTACGATGGACTGGCAGTAGAAAGAAAGCCTGATGCCTTGTGTTAATATTATGCGTGCTGGATCTGGTAATAAATTTTTCAAACAGGTATGGGGGTGATGCGGATAGTAAAATACGATGCACAGAACTTATAACAGAATATTTGTATAGATTATCTATAGTTAACCAATTGAGGTCAGAATACGTATGCGATATATGATCAAATTTCCTCAAATTATTTATGTACCTACTACAGGTATTTTGCATTATCTGTAGACGTCTTTTATTCGCAGCAGTTAGGCAGGGGTAATAAATTATTAGCCCATACGAAATCTTAGACAATACCAAGCTTTCACATAGCTGTTTTTTCAATTGCTTACCAGTGATGCAATTGTTTGCAAATAGAAGCCGGAGCGAACCGTAACATTGCCTCAAAACGTGCTGTAAGTGTTTTTCGAACCTCAGGTCTTCATCTAAATGTAAGCCCAAATTTTTGGCACATTCTGAATAAGGGATGATTTCTCCTTCGATTTGAACGTTAATTTTGCTTATAAGATTTGCTCTTATTTTGATATTGCCAAATAGCAATGCTTTACACTTCGATGGGTTGAGCTTGAGGTAATGTAACTTGCAATAGCGGCTAATACTTGACAAATCTTCATTGATTTGGTCTTGGGCTTCAGAGTAGCGTGAGGCTGGAAAATCATACTTTACCTGAGTGTCATCGGCAAAGAATTGCACATGACAGTGCTTGACAGTATCTTGAAGATCCGCGGTGTATAACAAAAAAGCAATGGAGCTAATACGGAGCCTTGAGGTACTCCGGACTGAACTTTATTTGGCAAAGACATCTGACCATCAACCACAGCCACTTGCGACCGATCACTTAAATATGACTTGATGAGCTTAAAAGCAAGATCATCAAAGCCATAGTAATGACATTTGGCTACAAGCAGTTTGTGATTCAATGTATCAAATGCTTTCGAGAAATCTAAAAGGACAAGAGCACACAAGTTTTTATTGTCAAGCGCGGAAATTATGCCATCGATCAAGTCCACTAAAGCCGTAGTAGTGCTATGATTTTTTTTAAAACCCGATTGATGAACACTTATAATATTATTTTTGTCCAAGTACTCGTAAATCTGGATATAAGCTGCGCGTTCCAGTATTTTGGATAGAAGAGGCAAAAGGCTTATCGGTCGTAGGTCGTCAAATGACAATGACAATCAACCCTTGTTAGAAAAAAGTTAGCTACGAAACATATGAAAAAAATTAAATGACCTTTTCCACCACCCCCTGAATGAAATTTTTACGGGCGCACATGGTCGTTGTTATGACTCTGGACGACGGTATTGACTGTTAGAGATATACTCAGTGACATTAGAAGTGTTACACCCAGGAAAAATAATGTCTTCATCTTGATTTTTTGGCAATGAGGTAGTCTAGTAATAAGAAGAAAAAAATAATGTTTAGGGCAACTCCGCAACTGAATGCACTCCTGCATCCGTCTAGGCATGGACAAAATGAGATGATCGATGTCTGGTTGTGGCACTTCATTCCAAGTAACTCGAACTTCGTGGATTAGCTGTGGCAGAGTCTGTGGCGTACAATTACTTTTTTAAATAAGTATTGTAGCGTTTTTCTGGGTTCTTTTGGGTGTGGATTGAAACACTGGATTCCAGAAAAAGAAATGCTCTAATTTATTTAACTTGATAAAACATTTATATACTACTATGTATGTCTGACTAAATCTTATATCGCCATTGACTGCACTATACTCCACTCCGCTCTGCACTGGTGTAATCTGTACCTTCTGCCTCCATCTCCCGGCCGCCGAGTTATATATATAGTCCCACTTTCCGCTTGGAGAAAGGCTGGGTGAACCACAAAGACATCTAGAATATTGGAGGCCACTTCGCGTCGATCTAGAAGGCGATCCACTGTTACGGTCCTCACAGACGCCGAATGATGTGAGGACCGTGACAGTGGATCGCCTTCTAGATCGACGCGAAGTGATCTCGAAGAGTCTAGACTTGCGCTTTGGGGCCCGCCACACTCTTCCTTTTTTTTTTTTTTGGTAAGGGGGGAATGCGTTTACGCACCATACCATAGCCCGAGCTACGGCGAGTGTGGGACTCCAGGTTGTCTTGAGGAGACCACCTAATACCCACTAAACCCTAAACCTCCGCGTGGCCCGACTTGTCAGCGTCTCGGTAGGCCATGTGTTGTGCGTGACCTGCGGTCTGCTACAACGTCTCCTCATGTGTTTCAGTCTCTGGGAACGCCGGGTTGGTTCCCTTTACCTCGCACATTCTATCGATGCCGTTAAGCGATCATTGATAGAGGGTCTGCTAGGTTTTCTTGAAACTCTTGTTTTCGAAAAATCAAGAGTTTCAAATCCTCTTACCTATATATTGTTCCTGGTCCTGGTGCTGAAGGGTCCTGGTCCTGGTGGGTCCTGGTCGTGGCGAGTCCTGGTCCTGGTTGGTCCTGGTCCCGGTGGTTCCTGGTCCTCTGCATCCACGCCGTGGGGGGGGGGGAGCAACCGCGGGTTCTCCTAGTCAAGGTTCCAGTTAGCGGGTGCCAACTGGGACCTTGGTCTAGGGTACCTGGTTCTGCGGTTGCGAGGCCTCTCGTCCGGATCGTAGTCCATGAGGAATCGTAGCTGCTCGTTCGGGTGGTCCTGAGCTTTCTCAAAGGTCTTCTCCGCTTTTTTCCTCATGTACTCGTGGATGGTGTCCCAATGCAGGTCTCTACGCAAGGTTGAGTTTCTTACGTAGGATGGTGCACTGGTGGCGATCCGGAGTAGCTTCATCTCTAGAGCAGCAAGTCGCTTGCGGTAGCTGGGGGCAGCGTACCCCCAGACCGCGGAGGCGTAAGCGAGCTGAGGTCTGGCGATGGCCTTGATCAGCCGTAGCTTGGTCGCTAGCGGCATCCGGCTGTGTCTACCCAGTAATGGGTAGAGTTGAGCCATAGCTGCTCTGGTCTTTGCGATGACAGCTTCTATGTGGGCTTTCCAGGTGAGGGACTTGTCAAATACGATCCCCAGATATTTGACTTTGTCGCTCCACTGGATATCTTCGTCGAAGATGGATGCTTCGAGAGGTCTTGCAATCCTTCTTCGTTGAATGGAGTGCCTGCGTCTTCTGGACGTTGATGCGGATTTTCCATTTCACGCACCAGTCCTGGATGTGGTCCAGTTCATCCTGTAGTCTCCTACGGATGATCTCGGGTCGTCTATGCTTGGCGGCTATAGCAGTGTCGTCTGCATATAGGGCCAGCATTGTGTCAGCTGTCTTCAGCACATCGTGAGTATAGATGTTGTAGAGCAGGGGGCTAAGGCTGACCCCTGGGGCACGCCTGCTTCCAGCTGTCGTCTTGTTGAATGGCATGTACCAATCTTCACCGTGAACCATCTTTGTGTTAGATAGCTCTGGATCAGTTGGCACATGTTCGCATCGATTCCGGCGGCTTCCATTTTGGCGATGAGTCCATCGTGCCAAACTCGATCGAAGGCTCGTTCCACGTCCAGCAGGACGAGACCGGTTGCCTCCTGGAGATTGAAGCCGCTGGTGATGTTTTCTGTCAGTCGTAGCGCTTGGAGCTCCGTGTTGTGGGAGGATCTGAAGCCGAATTGCTCTGGAGGGAGAAGTTGCAGTTCTTCTGCCTGCTTCTCTAGTCGAACGGCGATAGCCTTTTCGACTACTTTGCCCATCGAGGAAACCAGGCTGATGGGCTGGTAGTTCTGGGGCAACTTCCGGTCCTTGCCTGGCTTGGTGAGCATTATAACCTGGGCTTCCCGCCACCGCCGCGGGAAGTGGTTAAGTCTCAGAGTGGCATTGGCGATGTTGGTGAGCGCAGCAATGCCTTTGGTGGGAAGGTTCTTCAGCATCCTGTTGTTGATGCCGTCCCTTCCCGGCGCCTTTTGACCTTCAACCTGCGGATGATCAGACGGATTTCCTCTGGACTGGAGGGGTGATCCGTCTCCTGGCCAGGTGGTCGACTCCTCATGATGTCGGCTGCGACTTCCACGGCCTCCTCGTGGTTTTCGTCCTCGTCTTCATGGTAATTGAGTCTGCATTCGGATTCTAGCGAATCGGCGAATGCTTCGGCTTTTTCTTCACTGGAGTAGGCCAAGCCGCGTTGGCCGTGAAGAGTGGGGATCGTGGTGCGCTGACGACGAAATTTTCGCTGCATAGTCCAGGCCGTACCATCCTGGGTCTCTAGTTCTGCACAGGCTGCATTCCATCTGCTGTTTTGGAGTTCCGCGAGTGCGTTCTTCAGAGCTAGCGATGCTCTGTTTCGCGCAACTCTCGACTCCTCTGTCAACAGCTGGAGATGTTGTCGCTTGAGTCTTCTGTTCTCCCTGATCAGGTGCCTAATATGGTGCGGTGCTGGACCATTTAGGTGTCTAGGAACTGCCGTAGTCTCGGAGCGGGTGCTGTCCTCGTGCGCTCGCAGGACAGCATTCTCCAGCTCCTCTACTGCGTTGTCCAGTTCCTCCGCTGATCGGATGGTTGGAATTTGAGTGATGTTCCTTTGGACGTTGAGACTCTTCCCGACAAACGATGCGGACTATATACCCCACGGCCGCGAGAGGGAAGCGGAGTACGGAATACGGTGGAGTAGCAGAGCGAAGACAAGTCTAGTGCAGTCAATGGTGACATAAGAATTAGTCAGACATAAATAGTCGTGTGTATAAATTTTTTATCAAGTTAAATAAATCAATGCATTTCTTTTTGTGGAATCCAGTGTTTTAATCCACACCCAGTTCTTAAAATTTTCATGCTGCTCCCACTCAGCCTTGTATTTTTGGGAATATATTTTTTTCTTTCGAGGCTGGTTGGTCTTCTGGATCTTACTGGATACTGAATTATCAGAATCAGGAGTGGAGTCTAATTCACTTGTTGTACTCGGTCTCGTTTCCTCGGATTCTTCTTGAACTGAAGTAGACGCCTTGCTTGGATCTGGTTGTGGAGATAATGGCCGAACTGCGTCATCTGTTTTCTTAATTACCAAAATATTTTTCATAATTTTGATATCTGATGGCCTGAAAACCAAAAAGAGATTTTAGCCTTTATTACAAACTAATTTTTGCCTCAATTAGGTATTAGCATATTTTTATTGTTAACGTTGACTCATCAAATATTTTTTAAAATAAATTGTTTAAAAAAAAAATCAAATACGTACACTGTGTTCCAGTTTGCTTGTAATTGCAGAGTATCTTGGATATTTTTAAAGATGGAACTTTACAGTTTTTAGGAACCTGTGCCATTTTCTTGCTCACATTTTATTCCATACTCATATTAATGTTCATATCCAAAGTGCAAATAATCCATTAATAAAAAAAAACTAAGTTAGGGTCATAGCTCTTGAACGACGCCTCTGATTTATTTTCGAGCACGCCGCTGAATATGCAGAAGTATCTATCTATAGCAGTTTTCACCTTTTTTCTATCTTATACAGGGTACGGGCTGACAGTGCCCTAAAAAGTGAACTTTTTCGTTATCACCCTGTATTTCAGTGGCAAAACGAGTTAGCTTAAGGCGGCTCCGACGCAGTAAGTTTCAGGCCAATTACAAGGGTTCAGCTGCTTCAAAACTGACACTCTATTTTTCAATATTTTTCAATGAAATTTATGCAGTATGTTGAGAAGATAATTGTCCAGGGTGCTATAGGAGCACTTTTTGAAATTTTGTTTTTGCACAAGTTTTATGATGGGATGAAGTGCGCACTTTTTCTGTTCAACTTCGCGATTTTTTTAAAAAGAACCTAGTGAAAAAAATGAAAAAGTGGCTCTATAGCACCCTGTGGGGTTTTGTTTTCAGCACACTGTGAAAATTTCATTCAAAAATGTCAAAAAATAAAGCGTCAATTCCGAAGCGCGCAAACCTCTACAAATCGTATTTTGGACGAATTTTGTCTACTGTTTGGTGCTGCCAAAACAAGGGTTGCGGCGCAATGTACGGACTAAGAAAGGACGTATTCAGATAATTTGGTGGCCCTATTTCATACAATATCTCGTAGATAACTCGTTCTGCAAATAGGTACTCACAATCGCGATCTCTGATACTCCTCGATCTTAAAGCCGTTTTACTTCCCACGCCATTGGCGAGGAAGTATTGTAATCGCGGAAAATTTCTAAAATGAGATGTTATGTTTTTTTACGTCATATGGCATCTACATCACGAAAAACTGTATCACTCATCATCAACTTGGAAATTACCGCTCGGATTTTTATGAAATTTCCATACTGCCAAAGCTTTCTAGTTCTACTCCACTGGCAACGGTGCTATAGACAAAAAAGAAAAAATAACAATTGCTGAAACTCCATTTTTGACGTATCAGAGGTTCCTAATCATTGACAATTGTACTGCTTAAAAAGGGGGGGGGGTTGAAATCAGTGAAACACGTTCTATTATTAAGAAGCTTTTGATCCCAGTGATTACAGAAAATTTAAGTAACGAAAATCCGACGAATAATGTGCTCACGATTTGAAAAAAATCGGTATCTGCTCTATAGGTTTGACACCAAGAGCCAACAGAACTGCAACTACCGACAGTAGGGAAGAATAAATTCGGATATCACTCCAGTCAAGTATAGGGGAATTTAGCGAGGAACTTTAAAATTATCGATATGTCAAGGAAATATGTTCTTGAGAATGATAATTTGGTAGATTTTATACCTGCATTTTCATTTGAATTTCATGACCCGTGAAATGTACCCATTTCACCGTTACCTTCAATTTGTGTACTGCAGTTTGTGATGTTTTTCTGGATATAAGCAGGACATGATTGCCTAGGGTGCTATCAGAGCTTTTTACAAAATTTTGTTTTTGCGCAAGAATTGTGGTGGGTTGAAATGCTTACTATTTGTGCTCAACTTCTTGATATTTTAAAAAGATCCTAGTGGATAAAATCGGAAAAGTGAATCGCTGGCACCCTGTGGACTTTGTCTTTAGCACGCTGCAAGAGTTTCATTTAGAAATAATAAAAATTAAACGTAAGCTGTGAAGTGTAGGTAAATCGGTTTTTGAGCGAAATTCATCTACTGTTTCAACCTGCTAGTCCAAGCGTCGTAACGGTGCGTTCCGACTAAGAAAAAATGTATTCAAATAATATTATATCTTTCCTAAAATAAATTCAAGAATTCAAATTCAAATTCGTTTATTTATGTCAATAAACAAAATTATGTTTACAATTGTCATGTGGTAGATGGTAACAATTGAACGGGAGTCATAAAAATATCCTACGCAGTCAAAACATGAGGAAGCAGTTAGGTAGTTTTTGCAAAGCAATAAATAGGTAGGCTTATACCTGGATTAAGTACATGTCTTGTCTACTGTAATAGGTAGATGGAGGTGATGCTGCCAGAAATGGATGTGTGCGATCAATAAACAAACCACAAGATTGAACTGCCGTGTCCATGTGTCCAATGATTTTTGTATTGCCCTTTTTTATTGCCTTACTAGAAAACTCTGTTGGGTATATGATGGAGTTTACTAGAACTTTACAGCTTGTTGTCTGATTTCTTCTACAAACTTCACCAAATCGAGACGCTGTCAACCTTATCCTCTGATGAAGACGCCACAAAGTACAGTCCTGTGATTTGGTGACTTGTTCGATCTGCAAAATTTCATCAGTCACTTTTTTTAAGTTTCCCTAAAAATTCTTGCTCAGCAACCTCCAAATCAATGTCGTTCATGTCAGGTTTTTGACAGAATTGCCATAAAACTATTCATTTTCTTTGGAATTGCTATCCGAATTGTTATTTTTATATCAGCTTTTTTTGGTCTGAGTTTCTTTTGAAGATTCTTGCGTTTGAGTCTTTGTTCCATCTTAGTGATAAGCGAGGTTGGACTAAGCTTAGCACGCAAATGTATTTGAACCACATAGACAGGCCGCTCGGTATTGTGGCTCACTACAGCTGCAGCACGTTTTCCATGGTATGACCTCTTCTTGCAATAATTTATTCGCTTACCCCAATGTATTTTGCAATTATAGAGTTGAACTGCTCCACATTATTGTTGTCCTCATCATGAATTAAGCTCACTGCATTCGTAATTAAAATTGTCGCATAAGACCTTTTATTGTCCATTATCAACCTTGATAAAAAAAGGCACTCAAGAACAATCACACCAACAAAAGAGTACAGCACAACAATTCAACAACACAATATCGACGAACAGTAACCAGGGTAGAACAATACTAAATGATCACTTGCTGAGTACCAAAATAGGAAACGATTAACGGACTAGATCGCTAATCGAAATCCGACTCTGTTATTATATAAATTTACCTCGGCACGCACCCGCAGTCATCCTTTCCTCTTTTAAAGTAGCGCCGACAACCATCTAAGACCTGCCCACCATCGTTTCCTTTTCACCCCCCCGTTTTCTCAACAGATGGTACTCGAGATTGTAGGAGCCCCGTTAAAGGTTGATTCTCACTATACATTCCATTTCCATTCCATATCAGTTTCGTAAACGTTCCGTACAATGTGATTGTATAGGTACACAGTATACCTTATAGGTCGTCTACACGGGCCATAGAAAATGCAGATTTTTGAAAACATTGCCGGGTTATGTAGCCGGGCAGCATGGCCCAGCAACTGAATTTTTACATATTGCCAGGCCACATTCTGGACGAGTATGTCCGGACATCGTTCTGCAACATATGGCCATAGCAAATTTGCATTTACACTAGACAACATTCACACAAATAGTTGCTTTATCACCATGGATGATCTAGTGCTTATTGCGGCTGCTATCATTGTGTTAAAAAGAAACCGAACACTAAAAAAAGAAAAAAGTTGTGGGTTAGGCCTTATAAGTAAAAGGCTTACTTTACAAAATCTAAGTGAAGAGTTATCTCTCGACAATTATTTATTCAAAAACTTTACGAGAATGGATAAAACGGATTTTGAATTTTTACTAAATCGAATTGGACCGAATATTCGAAAGCAGGATACCAACATGCGAACAGCGATATCAACTACGACAAGACTAGCTATAACACTAAGATACTTGGCAACTGGTGAGAGCTTCAAAAGCTTGATGTATTTATTTAGGGTGTCTGATTCAGCTATTTCACTGATAAATAATCGCAGAAGTATGCAGAGCACTGGTGATAGGATTAAAAGAATTTATTCAGGTGAGTTAATATTTTTATTTATATTACTTCATCAGAAACAAAAGATATGCTAACTTAATAAAAGACACTAGCTAGATAAATTCGCTAGTGTTTTTCATTTAGTTTCGTCTTGTGAGAGTTTCTGCAGATTGAAACAGGGGAGGATCTTCGCTGCAGTAAGATTCCACCAGTGTACGATAGTTGGAAGCAATCGAAATATGTTTATACAAAACATTGTTAACATCCCACAATTCTGGACTTAAATGTATAGCGTTAATTAAATGTAAGTCTTTTCGTTAGTCCAATTAGTCATTTTAAATTAAGAAAATTCACCACAAAACAACACTCGAATGACGCGCGGCTAAAGAAGTGAAGCGAGACAAATACAAAGATGGCTGAGCCATGTTGCTGAAAATTCGCAAAGCGGTCGATCTCTCGGCCACTTGCCGGCCAGTGTTGCCGCACTAAAGAAATGCCAGGATATATTGCTCGGCCATATTGCAATATTTTGGTTATATTGCCGAATGTGGCTGGCAAGTTGCGAGCCATCATCCGGCCATATGATGCCGCCTACAAAATGCCGAAAATTATGGCCCGTGTAGACGACCTATTACGGATAATGTGCATACATACGCAATTGCCTGCTTTAAGCGAAGGCGAATATTTAATTTCAATAATTTACGGAATGGAAACGGAATGTATAGTGAGAATCAACCTTCATATCTGTTTGTAGGATTATTAGTTTAAACAGTTTTCTGTAGCAAGAATTAGAGAGATCCTAGTCAATATTAGCCGCTGCTAGATGGCGCGGTAGAATTTACTGACTGTTCCATCCATCCTAAATACGAATTGCAATGATTATTATAATACATAACGGTCTCAAAGGCTGAAAGCCAAAGAAATTTCTAGTAGATGATTGCTTTTGTTGTTTCAGTTATATTTTGTATTTCTGTATTTAAAGCGACATCTTATAGTCAATTCCTAAACTATAATTTACTAGTGTTATATAGGGACTTTCGCCATTCTTAGTACTGACGTTGGCGAAACCGATGTGGAATGTCAATTCAATTTAAATTTTGGGTAACTACAAGAAAAAACAGCTACTAGACAATAGCGCAATTTTTGTAATTATACTGTCGATTGTACCTGTACAACTTGAAATTCAATTAGGGGTGAGACAATTTTTTCATTTGTAGCAAGAAGTAGAGAGATCCTAGTCAATATTAGCCGCTGCTAGATGGCGCGGTAGAATTTACTGACTGTTCCATCCTAAATACGAATTGCAATGAAGATTATACATAAAGGTCTCAGAGGCTGAAAGGCAAAGACATTTTTAGTAGATGATTGCTTTTTTGTTTCAGTAATATTTTGTATTTCTGTGTCTAAGCTTTTATTTAAGGCGACATCTTATGGTCAATTTCGAAACTATAATTTACTAGTGTTATATAGGAACTTTCGCCATGTTGGCGAAACCGATGTTGAATGTCAGTTCAATTTGAATGTTGGGTAGTTACAAGAAAAACTTGCACAATAGCCCAATTTTTAGTAATTATACTGTCGATTGTACTTGTACAACTTCAAATTCTATTAGGGGTGAGACAATTTTTTTATTTGTAGCTGAGAATATACGTTTTAATTGGACATCTTCAGGCAAAAAATGGATAAGGCTGGAAATAGGAAAACCAAACACTGTGTGCAGTCTGAACAACATCCACAGCAGACTACATTGACACTGTGCTCGTTTATGGAGAACCGGAACTTCGTGGATGTAGCCATTCGCTGCGGAGATTACGTTTTATACGCTCATAAAGTGGTTCTGGCTGCCAACAGCGCCTTCTTTAAGGTGAGTACATATTTCCCACAAATACCCATGATCATGACTGATGTATTTTTATAGGAAGAACTCTGGAAGGATTCATCTGTCCAGCAAGTGGTGATCACAGGATGTGATGCGTCTGTGGTGAGATCCTTACTGGAGTTCATATACTGCGGAAAAACTATTCTATCTTATGAACATCTCAGATACTTAGTTGCAGCAGCCAGGACATTACAAATTAAACCATTGGATAGTATGACATTTGACTTCCCCTTACATGGTAATTTATTCCATTCAGATATTCCAATTTTATTTTGTCTTATACAGGGTACATGAACAGTTTATTTCTCGGATGCAATTAGAATAACGCAAAAAGTGTCACAAGTCTTATGAAAAATTTCATATAGGGATCTCCTACCAAAATATAGACTTTCAAATTAAGACACTGGAGACTGCAAGGGAAAGACTACCGCAATATTGCTTATTTTTTAACACTCTATAGTAATGACTCTAGAGCGACATTTCTTGAAAAATGTATCCTCGATGGACGTTGATGAGTAGTTGCATGGAGCTATTTATAAAAAATTGGAACCATTCTGAGGAAGCGTAGATAACGGCTACATCGAAGAGTTGTTTTGACTGCAACCAACAACTGTTTTCAAAAATATAGCAGGGTTATCTACTAGGACCATATCATATTGCACCTCAAATTTATTAGGTACGTAGTCTTCGTGCATACTTTTGACTCACTTAACTACCAATGCCTAACAAAGTGACCGCATTGTACTAACACAATAATAATACTTACCGATGGAAATATCTACCTTCAGTAGCCTGGTGCTACTCTTCGCAAATTATCTAAGAATAAGTACCATGTCTTGAAATCGTCTAACACCTCAATTATCTGCAAACACTCGCACTTTTAAAAAGTAACAGCAAAATATGAACTTAACGACAGAGATGTCAAAAAGACATAAAATTTGTTATTCTAGCCTAGTTTTTATGCTGGATTTAAAAATATCAACAATTTCAGATAGTTTTGTTTGGAAGCGTAAGTAACAGGAACGGACTCAGGTTATTTTAGCCCCAAAATTTTTGTGTGATCCTATTTTTTAAATTCAATTTCAGAATTTGAAAATTTAGAGTTTTCTACATAAAAAAGGTACTCTTATTGAATATCAAGAAATTGTGCCATTTTTGAATAAAATCAAACTAAAAAATTTGTCACATGATAGGAAATGTACTACAAATTTAAATGATTTGTTGATTATACATAGTTAGCCATGACTACAAACAAAAGTTGTTTTGATTTGTTATGACTTATTTTGACATTAAGCTGACATTGTTAGCATTGTAAAATTTATTAGATTAAAATCAAAATTTTTATTAAATCGATTTAAAATGCCAAGATTTACAGACAGAGAACTGACTGACATGCATTTTATGTACGGGTTTCGCAATGGCAGTTCATTGGCAGCCGTAAGAGAATATCAAAGAAGATTTCCCAATCACATAGTACCTGGACGTCGAATGTTTACTGAGATTCATCAAAATTTGTCAAACCATGGAAGTTTTCAGCGCATGCAGGGCTCTGGAAGGCCACTGGGAAATCATCGTATGGATATTGTTTTAAATATGTTTGAAAATAATCCGCAAATATCCATACGAAATGTTTCAGAAATTATGGATATACCTCGTCCAATAGTAAGAAAAATTTATGAATACCTATTTGATAGTTATCCTAAAAATAATAATTTTATGTAGGAAGAATGACTAGAATGCATGGATCACATCCTTATCATTTTAAACGGGTGCAGCATTTAACGGAGGCAGATTTTTTTACCGCGAATCGAGTTTTGCCAGTGGATATTAGCAAATGAAAACACTATTCCTAGAATATTATGGTCGGATGAGTCAATATTTACTAGGAATGGTGCTTTTAATTTTCATAACATGCATCACTGGTCAGATGAAAATCCAAAAGTTGTTCGCCGTACAAATTTCCAACATAGATTTTCATTAAACTTATGAGCAGGAGTAATTGGGGATCAAGAAATTGGGCCTATTGTACTTCCCAATCGTCTTAATTCAGAGGTGTATCTGAACTTTCTTCAGAATGAGCTCATGGATATAATACCATTGGATGTGCGCCAGCAGATTCAAGAAAATATGTTTTTTCAACATGATGGCGCCCCTGCACATTTTGGACGCAATGTTCGAAATTGGTTGAATGTCAATTTTCCGGACAGGTGGTTAGGCCGAGGAGGTCCTATAGCGTGGCCGCAGGTTCACCTGACCTATATCCATTGGATTTCTATTTTTGGGGGTCATTAAAAGACCTAGTTTACTCGACTGAAGCAAATACTCAAGAAGATTTACTTCAAAGAATCCATCAGGCTGCAAATGAAATAAGAAGAATCGCAATCATTATTTCGTCGAGCGAGACTCTGTATCCAACAAAATAGAAGTTTATTTGAACACTTATTGCAAAGCTAGTTCTAAGTATATCCAACTGTATGTCTTCTTTTTTAAACAGATTTCAATTTCGTTCGTAGAAAAAATTTATTTCTTTTGTTTTTGTTTTATTTAGCCAATTATTAAATTAGTTTTTTGTTGCCATGGCTAATTATTTAACAATTCATTTAAATTCGCAGTACATTTCCTATCATGTGACAATTTTTTTAGTTTGATTTTATTCAAAAATGGCACAATTTATCGATATTCAATAAGAGTACATTTTTTATGTAGAAAACCCTAACATTTTAAATTCTAAAATTGAATTTCAAAAATAGAATCACACAAAAATTTTGGGGCTCAAATAACCTGAGTCCGTCCCTATTACATACGCTTCCAAACAAAACTGTATAAAATTGTTAATATTTTTAAATCCAGCATAACAAACTAGGCTAGAATACCAAATTTTATGTCTATATCTCAACACGTTTCGGAAATATTAAGGAAAAACCATCTTCAGGGGAGCCCCTTTAAAAGACCGTAGCGCGCTTAGGGGACGTTTGTCGACCTATGTTTATATAAACTTTTTTTTCTATTTTAAGCTCTAGAAACCGCTGGTAGAATATTGCACACTTTTTTCGCGACACCCTGTATATATAACAAAATGGTAATTATGAATTTCAGGTTCTTGTAAAGGAACGTAAAACTATTACTAAACACTATATCAAGCGCGAATCCTGAGGGTCGTGACTCCCTCTAGGGCAAATGTGACTACTTAGGTATATTTATGGCTTTTGAATCTTTTTAGTAAATTTAATATGCAAATATGTAATGGATACAAACGGTTAAAAATTACCAGATTTTGGTGAAAAATCACCACACCTGGTAACCCTGATCAATTTGTAAGCACATCGATGCTTGCGTGGAAATAAGAGAGTGCGTAAGTCTGGTTGCCTATACCCTATACGTTATGCTTGACGCAAATATGAATTAAATAGTGTTTCTGCGTGTTTCGGTTTGGTAGTACTGTATGTCCGTTAGTGCACTATAGCCTTATGTGTTCTGTGAATAAGGTAATTAATCGAAAATTTAGACATTGGGACAGGAATATAAGAAAAATCGTTTTCGCGCGCGCCTTTGACGCTGTGAGCAAACTTGATAAAAACTCATATTGATGGACAAAATCAGTGAAAAGCAGTCTCATCTGATTGAAAGGAGATGATAAGAAGTAAGCATCAGAGTTATCTAACCGTAAGAGTGATCAAATCTCTCACTCTTCATCTATCAGCTCATAAGCATAATATGCACTACTTCCTACTTTGGACTGTTTTTATTTGTTACTCAGTATGATGATATTGTCTTATTTTTATCATTTGCACGGTGTTTCCCAAATATGGGGCAAGCATTTAATGAGTGATTCTTGGGACTGCGAGGGATGTCTTTTAAGTTTTGCATATAGAAACGTAGTAGGCCGCGCGGAACAAACGTCAATACTGAATCTTAACCTCACTCTTTAGTAAGCTTAAATTCAAAGTTTCACAACAATACGTGCAGTGCTCTCACTACAGTGAATTTTTAAGTGTCACCAAGTCATTAGAAAAATGGAACTCAATCGAGAACATTTGTGTTAAAAGCGGGTCATATTGCAACAATTCCTCTTAATGAGCAAAGAACTGTTACTGCGGATTGGTATACCACCATTTGTTTGCCAAAAGTAATCACCGAACATCGAAAAATCAACCTAGAAAGAAGAATCATCCTCCACCAAGACAATGCAAGCTCGCTCACAGCCCAAAAAACAAGGCAGTATTTAACGGAAGAAAACGTGGAAAGGTTATTAGTGAGAAAATTCGGTTACTGATAATTAAACTTTATAATTCTGGGAAATCAAACTCAGAAATTGCAACTTTGTTAGACTTATCGTGGTACAGTGTGAGAAATATTGTTAGAAGATATAACGTAACTGGTTCAGTTAATATTAAGCCACGATATGTGAAAAAAAGTAATATCACAAATGCCGATCGAAGAGCATTAAGAAGAATAATCGTGAAAAACAAGCGTGCCAATTATTTACAATTAAGTGCTCTGTGGAGTGACGCTGTTGGAAGGAGAATTTAGAGCAAAAAAAATGAATCATTCCATGTTGACTGTCTGAAGAGAAAAGTGAAATTTCTAGCATCCATTATGGTCTGAGGCAGTAAGTCATCAAAAGGAGTAGGAAAACTTCATTTTATTGATGGAAATGGGGATACAAACAAATATTTAGCTGTTTTAGAAGAATCGCTTTTACCAGTGATGGAAGAATGTTTAACATCCGGCCAAGATCTTGTGTTTCAGCAAGATGGTGCAGCGTGCCATACCTCAAAAAAGGCTATAAAATGGATGGAGGAAAATAATGTACCACTTTTGAAATGGGTTTCTAGCAGTCCAGATCTGTCACCTATTGAAACTTTGTGGCACGAGATGAAAAAGGTTCTACGACAACATCCTGCTCGTACAATCACCGAACTGAGACAAAAGCTTCAAGAAATATGGGATTCTTTTACACCAAATTACTGCCAAAACTTGGGTAACACTATGCCCCAAAGAATTTCAGCCGTAATAAAAAATAAAGGTGATGTTACCCAATGGTAATCTTTCAATTGTTGCTTTGTTAACTTCGCGCATTTATTGGCATTGTTTATTTGTTCAGATGTTCTATTAGTTATAGGTCTAAGTGATTTCAAATATGTATTTTTGCGGCTAGAGTGTATCTAAAATGTTTTTGAGAAAATCAATTGTTTCAGAAGTAAATAGTTATGTCATGTTTAGTTTATAAAGGCATATTTTGGTACAAATCTTGAAGTGGGCCAACTGAAGTGGGAAGGGGTTCGTAGTCCCGATCTAAGTCCTAACGATTTCTTTACTTTCCGGAAAATTAAAAACAGACTGCGTGGTCAAGGGTTCCAGTCACCAGAAGGAGCAGTTGACGCATTCAAAAATGCCGTTTTGGATCTGCCAGCAAATGAGTGGAATAAGTGCTTCGAAAATTGGTTCGAGCGCATGCAGATGTGTATTAATCTTCGTGGAGAATACTTCGAAAAACACTAAAGTCGTTTAAAACTACCTACCGTGTTGTTTTATTTCCATATGCAAAACTTAAAAGACATCCCTCGTATTCTGAAACTGTTGTATTTGATCCTCTCGATTTGTGAAACACCTCTTGATTCCGGAAAAATAGGACCCTAAAGGAAACGTCGTTGGAAATATGTTTTTCTTAAATAATTGTCATATATTACCGCTTAAGTTTTAACATCGTAACTCAAAAAATGACGATATCATGCTTGTCATTCGATAGGAAATTTTGCTCTTTTAAAAACTTGTCAGTTTTGAGTTACGCTGTGTTAGAAGATAAGCGACGAGCCAACTAAAACTATTAACTCATTTAGTTCGCCAGAGACGGACTAGCCATAACCGCAATATACATATATTGCTAATGATGGATCTGTAATGAGAATTATCATATTTTCAATACGAGTGAACCTATAACGATTCCATAATTTAGAAAACTGTACCAAAATAATAAGGCTGTTGTACTTCAAAACCCCAGAATGGTTCAGTGAATAAGACACACCCCTTCCCCACCGGAGACAAAAATTCTACTGAACATGAATCCTGTGACCCCCTGCCACAAATCTTGGACCCTTGCACTATATAAACCAATATTCGCGTTTAATGATGACTTAGCTTTTACTGTTTTATCAAATATATTGATACGTCGTTTAATTATTCCGCAGCTGGGAATTTTCTAAATTAAAAAGCGACGTTGTATTACCAGCTACAAAAAGTCATTCTTTCAAATGACGCCTTTTACGTTTGCTTTTTCTTTTTCAGACGACATGATAGTGATTCCCAAGCCACAGTTTCTCTCCAAAAAGCTCAAATTCTGTGGTTACCCGTCCAAGCGAGCTTCGGCCATCAACTCCTTCAGCGATCTATACAAACTCCACAAAGGCAAGAAAAGGTCCCGCATAGGAGCTGAAGGCCAGGTATGTGTTGAGAAAACCGAGGATAGTAGATTGGCTACTGCTAAAAAAGAGATCGCATCTGCTTCACAGGCTAATACTTCCATCATGGAAAAAGCTTGCACGGAGAGCTCAGTTAAGAAGTTCCCGCATCCTACAGCAGGATTTGGTGCAGGTCAAGCGTTTTTGCCCACTGACCCAATAGGGTCGAACAATGTCATTGATTTAACCATGCCAAGTAGCTCTGAAGAACGTACTCCTTATCTATTCGGAAATGAAGCCAACTCTATTGTGGAGATAATGTTCAAGACCAGTGATGGAAGCTTGGTCCCTGTTACTGATGAATTGCTCCAGAATCTTCAGAAGGATGGTCTGCAATATCAAGTGATGGACGAAGATGGAAAATTAGGCGAGGTTCATGAATTGCAACTGACTAAGGATATGACCAATGCGGCTGCTGGAAATATACCACTTTTACTGGAAACGTTAGATCTATTCGGCAATGCTCAAACAGACTCGGCAGACATCACTAATGAACCATGTAAAGCAGAGGACAACGCTGGTGCTTTGATCGATCAGAACAACGTAGCGATACCTTCACTGGACACTGAAGAGTTGAATGAGAGCTATTCAATCGAAAACTTGCTTTTGAATGCATACGCTGAGATGCAGCCAGATCATTCCGAGGTTGAAATGCAGATGATGGATGTTAAAGGAAGCATTCCTGCTACCGCGAGTACCGATCAGAAAGAAGATCCAAGTTTGGACTTTTCTCCTGATATGTTTGATCTATTCGGCGATGCTCAAAAAGAATCTGTAGATATCACCACTGAACCATGTAAACTAGTGGATAACGCTGGTGCTTTGATCGATCCGGAAAACGTGCTTTTGAATGCTTTCGCTGAGAAGCAGCCAGATCATTCCAAGGTTGAAATGCAGATGACGGATGATAAAGGAAGCACTCCTGCTACCGCGAGTACTGATCAGAAGGAAGATAGTGGTTTGGACTTTTCTCCTGATATGTTTTTTGCTGACTGGTAACAAGAGGATTTGTTTGGAAGAGGATACCTCGAAGCAGTGACATGTTGTTTGATTTTCAGTTTTTCAGTTAAATTGTATTCAGAATAATTATTTGTTTCAATAAAAACAATTTCATGATTACAGTTATTGTTTTTCGGACTCCATTGCCTGACCCTTTTCAAGTACAATGACAATTCATTCAGGAGTTACCTTAACAGTTTCCTCTCGAATGAGACCAGTCAAATCATTGTGGAAATTACGTAGGCAAATTTGCTGATTTTCAAAAATGAGAAAAAAAAGAAAAGAAAATCCCTGGGTGGTGAAGTAACAGGTGAGAAAATATCCTACAGACAGTAATACTGTCAATAGAAAATACAAATGAGCGTCTAGATGTGAGACACTGCGCAAATGTTTGAAGTATGATGCGTCATTCCTAATTTTACTGTGATGTGGCTTAATTGCACACAACGCGGGCGCGGTGGCGATTTGCCATAATCAAAGTTTTTGAAAACACAAAAAACGGGAACTACCGTAATTTATAACTTTGAATATAACCTGTCTACAGAAAGGACAACATATAAATAACTCGTCGGGCACGGCTAATAGATGTAGACCATGTAGACTCATACACAAAATCATCCAGATGTGATCTTGCTACTCGGCAAACTTTCTTTCTTTCACATTCTCTCAGACTTACAGACTACTCGGATTCACAAAACATACGAGTATATTAGCTTTCTGCAACCAACAATGCGCGTTGCTGAGTCATTCCTCCCTAGATCAACGCTCACAAAACTACCTAGTCTGCAAGACGACATTTCGTTGTTTTTTACATTTTACAGGTTTTTTTACATAATAGCCGTGATGTAGGACGAACTATCTAAGGAATAAATCGTAAGGTCTCATCCACTATCTTACGCAAATTCTTGGGTTTAAGCCAAACAGATTCTCAATACCTGAAACCTGAGATCAAATCGCTAGGCGATGGCGTGCTAATTTTTTGAGGTATCAACAGCAATAGTTCAAAAAATGTTGTTTCTCTGCATTTACTTCAGATAATTGAACGCTTAATACCTCAAATGAAAGCTTGTTAGATACAGATATTATTTACATAATTTAATTTCATTTGTAAAAGTTTGCCCGTGCTCGCTGTGGCGAGGTCCTGGCGGATCTTCTGCGTCTGCCATGATGATAAAGAAACCACTCGAAATGAACTGGGAAACTCGAAAATAATAATCGTGCGTAAAACGTGTGCGCGTACGCAGTAGTTGATACCAACTAAACCTAATTCTCATTCGGCGTGCGGCGATGGCGTAACTACAATGATGAATAATAACAGCTCTCTCTCTGTCTCTCACTCCTCCACTAAGTCAGCTCTTCTCGCTCGCTTCCTCGTCGAGCCGATGCCATAAAACAATCATGGCATGCGAGTCCTTTGAGGACAGTAACGACTTGTACAAGCAGGTAATACAGATTCCTTAAAAATTCAGCCTCTGTGGTTGTCATTGTTGTTTCTCTGCATTTACTTCAGATAATTGAACGCTTAATACCTCAAATGAAAGCTTGTTAGATAGAGATATTATTTACATAATTTGCACATTTCATTACTAAGAGATTTTTTACAGAAAATTGCATTTTTTATCGAATAAGTTAGTAAAAAAAAGAAAATGATACATTTAAAAAGCGTAATTTTAAAACGTTTGTAGTTTTTCAACATTTTATAAGTTATTATGAACTATTGGAATGTCTGCTATGCGACGATAACAAAAAACTCAAAATCAAACATGCAGTTTCTTGTATTTCAATTTTAACCGTCTGAAATCGGAATAAAAAATAAAAAACTTAAGATTCAAATAACTCAAAAATGGTTAACTTTTGGATAAGACATGATAGGACAAAATCGGTTGCTTTTGACCTAATCTATCACCCCTTAACAGGAACACGTGACATTACAAGTCACCCTGTATATGGATGTGAGCTGTTTGGTTATTCCACAACTCAAGTGCAATTTAATATTTGGATCAAATTGGTTATCCGAGCATCAAGCACGTTTGGATTATCAATATTCACAGCTGAAGCTGATGATAGAAGAGGTTTTAGTAAATACGGAACTGTCGTTTCGGATTGATCCTCAGAAAATATCTGTAAACCTCTGCAAGAAAAATGATTATGTGTTTGATGTCGACGGAAATAAAGCTGTGTTACGCCACTGGTAGAGTACAGCGTTGATAGCGGCGGCGTCGGTTCCCGCAGCAAGGGATACAGCGCGGCGGATATCCGGATATTCAGGCAGTAGCAGCGAAAACTACTTTTGGTGGGACCGCTAAGGCATCACTTTTATATATTTTAGAAAAATATAGGAAACCATTCTCTGATACACCGGGACATGTCGTCAATTATTTTCATCAAATTGAGCTAGTGGATGGAAATGAATTTAATTTTGTGGCTTATCGTGTTCCTATGGTTTATCGGGATGAAGTTAGAAGGCAGATTGGTGATATGTTAGCGGCCGGTGTTATTCAGAAGGAAAGAACTTCCTACATTTCGCCGTTAGTTTGCGTAAAGAAAAGGGATGGGAATATTCGCGTGTGTTTGGATGCTCGGGGGCTGAACTCAAAGATCAAGGATTTGGTGAATCCTCCCAATCCATCTGAATTAATGGCCAATTTCAAACAGGGGCAAATTATGAGCACAATAAACTTGACGCAAGCATATTGGCAAATTCCAGTGTTGCCGGATCATACCAAATATCTGGGGTTGGTGTTCGAGGGTGAAACATATAGTTTTTGTCGGTTTCCATTTGGGTTATCTACTTCCACGGCAAGTCTTATTCGATGCTTAAATAAGATACTGGAGGGCTGTAATGATTTCGCGCAGGCGTATGTTGATGATTTACTAATTTACCCGGAGAACATAGCGGATCATTTAAGGCATTTGAAGACGATTTTTCAGAGATTTAGTGATACCGGAATTACAATAAAACTAAGGCAATGTCAGTTTATCAGGGAAAATGTACATTTTCTAGGTCATGTGATCACCTCAAGGGGAATTGAAAACGACGAGGGGCGTTTCAAAAATATTTCCGATTTTCCTGTTCCACGAAACTTAAGAGAGCTGCCTGGGTTCTTGGGTCTGGTCAATTATGAACACCGATTCTGCGCCGGGTATGCCGAATTGACCGTGCCTCTGTTGAAGTTGCTGAAGAAAGGAGAAAAATGGCGCTGCGGAAGCGATGAAATGGAGAGTTTTAGGGTTATTAAGTCGGCCTTCCTAAAGTCCATGATGCTTGTTCATCCTGATTTCAAGCGCACTTTTTATATTCAATGCGATGCTACCGCATATGCCGTGGGGGGGTAGTCTTTATCAGATTAACGATACGGGAGTGAAACGATATGTTTGCTTCATGAGCTCCGTTTTGAAGGGCAGTCAATTAAACTATACTGTAACGGAAAGAGGAAGCTTGGGGGGTTGTCTCTTGTTTTCGTTTGTCGCGCACGTTGGTTCTGGGACGAGACTTGCTGGTCATTACAGATCATAAAGCACTTAGCTTTTTGATATCATGTATGTGAAATTACTTTCGGCAAGGTTGTCGCGTTGGATAACATTTATCCAAGAATTTGATTTCGAGATACGATACTGCAACGGGCCTGACAACGTAGTGTCGGATGCTTTGTCGCGGTATCCTTTAAAAGATAAGACGTGCAGTGTTTCAGGTTCTAAGGGAAGCGGGCAGATTTCGCTAATGAGGCTGAGTGGCGATTTTGCGGAACTTAAGAAGCATTTTAAAACTTTGAAGCTCGATCAGTTGAATGATGAATGGATCAGGGAAAGGATAGAGTTCTTGGAACTTATCACTCGCTACGTTATGGGCGTCCAAGTTGATATAATGGGGTTCTACTCAAGTATTTGCTTTAAATGGAAGAGTGGTTTCGGTCAATTTCTCTTAATTACTCATATGGTAGGTGTCTTGGCGTCCTGAATAAATGCCTTAATGAGCACATGTCCCAAGACCCAACGGGTCCCAAGATATAGGCCGTCTGAGTCAGTATAATGGAGTAATCAGTCCTTCTCGAATATCTGCCTCAAATGAAAGAATGGTTTCGGTTAATGTCGCTAAGTTTTTTATATGTTATGTGCCTCGGCATCCTAAATAAATGCCTTAATGGACACAGGCCCCAAAACTCACCGAATTCCATGATATAGGGCGTCCAAGTCGGTATAATCTATTGGGTAGGTATAATGGGAATGTATGCTTTAAATGAAATAGTGGTTCGGGTTCATTCCGATGAATTTTTTATATGTTATGCGGAATCCTGAACAAATGCCTTAATGGACAGAGCCCCCAAAACTCAACAGGTCCAAGTCAATATAATATATTGGTTATACTTCGAATGTATGCCTTAAGTGAAATAGCGGTTTCGGTTAATTTCTCTGTGTTTTTCATATGTTATGTGTCTCGACGTCCTGGATAAATGCATTGATGGACATGGGCAACAAAACTCAACTGCTCTTGACATCACAAAAGCGTTCGATCTGCTGTGGCACGCTGCCGTCTTAAGCGAACTTCCATCCTATGGCCTATCAGAAAAGCTTTTCACATGGGTGGCTGACTTTATCTCTGGCCGCAAGATATCCGTCGTAATTGACGGGTTCTCCTCTTCATCCCACAACGTCAACACGGGTGTTCCCAGGGGATCGGTCTTGGCTCCGACACTGTTTCTCTTACATATCAACGACCTCATTTCCTGCAGGATCAACCCAATACACAGCTTCGCTGTTGACAGCACTCTACATGCAGGAATTCAGAGTGACAAGCCGATCTCTGCCGCTGAGCTGGAAAAAAGAAGACTAGGGACGAATTCCTCTCTGACCTGATTGAGGACGCAACAATCTCAGTTCAATGCTTCCAAAACACAGTACTGTACCATAACGAACAAAAAGCATCCTAGCGCTCATCCGGTTTCGATGGATGGCCGAGTTCTGCCAAACGGCCATTCATTTTGGCTGCTCAGAGTCCAGATCACAGAGGACCTGATCGGGCACGAACACATCTCGTCAATAGCGGCAGCTGCTGGGAAAAAGCTAGGCTATTTGTTTAGGGTTAATAAGTACTTTTTTCCGCTGGTCCTTCTCCCTCTATATAAGGCCCAGATAAGGGCCAGCCTCGAGTAATGCTAACACGTTTGGGGTGCTGCGGCCCCGACTACATTATTTATGCTTGATGCTCACGAACTTCTTACATCCATAACTGGCCGATCCCGAGGGTGTCGAGATTGTGGAACAATCTACAAAAGGAAGCTTTTCCCAGTTCTACTAACCTTAGGCAGTTCAAAAATCGGATTAACAACACGTATACAGAATTACAGGGTATAAATATACTAACGCCAACAAAATTGAGATATACCTTTCCCACACGCCCCATTTTTAACCCCTACAAAATTTGTTTTTGATTATGATCAGTTTTTAGGAAATGTCAAATGCTTTTCAGGCTTCTTCGTCCTTGGCATAGTCGTTACCTGTCTCAAGCTTACAGCAAAATTCGACCATTACTTTCCAAGGTATAGCGAGGATGGTTTTTCACGATGTCGTCCAAAAAACAGTCTCAAACATGACATCAAGCCCGATGGCGATGTGGTTAACGCTATGTGTCTACTAACCTAGTCGCCGTGAGCTGCGCGGGTCCGAATCCCCTCCCAAGATAATGTGCAGGGTTGCCAAGCGTGCCGAATTTTCGTCAAAGTTTTGACGGCTTCAAATGGCTACTAAAATGGATAGTTTGACGCACAGTAATCAATTCTTGGTGATACGTGTATGTATTAATGAAACATGAAACGAGGACGAGCGGAAGTTGTGTGCTCTAAGCACGATGGCGTTCATGGTCAAATGCCGTGTCAGGTGTCGTGTTCCGAGCATATCTACGACATCCCATCCTAACACGTTTGACACAGTGTTGCTAAATATACGATTACGTTTTTATTCGATAAATGGGGAGACCCACCAAAAGATCACTAGCCAAGGTAACTATCACAATACATTCATTCGGCATAAATCTATACGTTCGATACGGCCCTATATGGGCTTTACTATTATGCCAAAGGTTGCCTCCTGGAGATGTCTAATCGGCGCTGATGAAATTACCTATGGAATCCCATGGTGTCCCTAGATTCGATACTACGCCACTGTTTTTCAGAGAGAATCTCTAGCGAAACGGTATACCTACAGATCTGTATTACAGACGGTAAATACCGGATTATCAGATCGGAGAAAGTTTCAAACCCCAATAATTGTGCACCAGCTTGCCGGCTACGTAAAGCTGGCCATACGGAATAAGCTTCAAATAAAGGGTTTCCAGCAAAATATTTGAAAGAATACTGCAATCTAAAACAAGTCAAATACCCTCAACATGTCGGCCTTTACGAAAAAAAAGTTTCATCTCGACATCTTATCGACATTTTTTTTAAGAAAATGGCATCAACCAAGCTGAATCTGTACTTCGCAGCAACGCTGTCATTAGCTAGTAAAGGCCTATTTTCGGCACAAATCAACCCTTGTTGGAAAAAAGTTAGCTACGAACATACATGTATATGACAAAAATTAAATGACCTTTTCCACCTCCCCCTGCACGAAATTTTAACTGGCGCACATGGTCGTTGCTATGACTCTGGACGACGTTATTGACTGTTGGAGATATACTCAGTGATATTAGAAGTGTTACACCCAGGAAAAATAATGTCTTCATCTTGATTTTTTGGCAATGAGGTTGACTAGTAATAAGAAAAAAAATAATGTGTTGGGCGACTCCGCAGCTGAATGCACTCCTGCATACGTCTAGGCATCGACAAAATGAGATGATCGATGTCTGGTTGTGGCACTTCATTCCAAGTAACTCCAACTTCGTGGATTAGCTGTGGTAGAGTCTGTGGCGTACAATTACTTTTTGAATTACTTTGTGCTGTTTGAATTCCTACCATAAATTACTTAATATTTTGTGCTAATCATTAACCGAAGACGCAAGCATTTAAATAAGTATTGTAGCGTTTTTCTGGGTTCTTTTGGGTGTGGATTGAAACACTGGATTCCACAAAAAGAAATGCCCTAATTTATTTAACTTGATAAAACATTTATATACCACTATGTATGTCTGACTAATTCTTATGTCGCCATTGACTGCACTATACTCCACTCCGCTCTGCACTGGTGTAATCTGTACTCTCTGCCTCCATCTCCCGGCCGCCGAGTTATATATAGTCCCAATTGCCGCTTCGAGAAAGGCCGGGTGTACCACAAAGACATCTAGAATATTGGAGGCCACTTCGCGTATTTTATTTTCGAAAAAAAACATATAATGACATTGTATAAATTTTGGGCCGAGGAAGCGTCTTTAACTAAAATAAGGCCGATAAAATGATCCTTTGTGTTAAAATTTTTATTGTACCGGACAACAATTGCAAAATGTTTTCCGGATGACAAATCTGTCGATTCGTCAACTAATAATGAAAATGTATGGCAACTTGAGTCACTAATAAGATTTTCAAAACTTATTTTCCCTAATACATTGTTTATGATTGCCATACATTTTGTTCGGCCTACAGACATTTTTTTGGTTGGTTACCTTCCATTCCAGACATACAAATAGATTTTATACGTTCGCTAAGATGATCTGGCACATTTATTGCGATATTATGCTCGGCAATAAAAGCTGTAATTTTAATTTCATTTTGTTTTACTATATTATCAGAAGAGATTTGATATACTTTTTTGACAAGGTTGGCTGCTTAACCATAATAGTAAAATTTTTTATATTGTGACGAATAGCGCCATCTGTTGAGCGAGTCTTCTACTTGCCAGAGCCTAAATGCCGATCTCTGCTTTCACGCGAACCACGGCGCACAAGCCGCCTGGCGGCGTCTGTGAGGACCGTGACAGTGGATCGCCTTCTAGATCGACGCGAAGTGATCTCGAAGAGTCTAGACTTGCGCTTTGGGGCCCGCCACACTCTTCCTTTTTTTTTTTTTTTTGGTAAGGGGGGAATGCGTTTACGCACCATACCATAGCCCGAGCTACGGCGAGTGTGGGACTCCAGGTTGTCTTGAGGAGACCACCTAATACCCACTAAACCCTAAACCTCCGCGTGGCCCGACTTGTCAGCGTCTCGGTAGGCCATGTGTTGTGCGTGACCTGCGGTCTGCTACAACGTCTCCTCATGTGTTTCAGTCTCTGGGAACGCCGGGTTGGTTCCCTTTACCTCGCACATTATATCGATGCCGTTAAGCGATCATTGATAGAGGGTCTGCTAGGTTTTCTTGAAACTCTTGTTTTCGAAAAATCAAGGGTTTCAAGTCCTCTTACCTATATGTTGTTCCTGGTCCTGGTCCTGAAGGGTCCTGGTCCTGGTGGGTCCTGGTCGTGGCGGGTCCTGGTCCTGGTTGGTCCTGGTCCCGGTGGTTCCTGGTCCTCTGCATCCACGCCGTGGGGGGGGGGGAGCAACCGCGGGTTCTCCTAGTCAAGGTTCCAGTTAGCGGGTGCCAACTGGGACCTTGGTCTAGGGTACCTGGTTCTGCGGTTGCGAGGCCTCTCGTCCGGATCGTAGTCCATGAGGAATCGTAGCTGCTCGTTCGGGTGGTCCTGAGCTTTCTCAAAGGTCTTCTCCGCTTTTTTCCTCATGTACTCGTGGATGGTGTCCCAATGCAGGTCTCTACGCAAGGTTGAGTTTCTTACGTAGGATGGTGCACTGGTGGCGATCCGGAGTAGCTTCATCTCTAGAGCAGCAAGTCGCTTGCGGTAGCTGGGGGCAGCGTACCCCCAGACCGCGGAGGCGTAAGCGAGCTGAGGTCTGGCGATGGCCTTGATCAGCCGTAGCTTGGTCGCTAGCGGCATCCGGCTGTGTCTACCCAGTAATGGGTAGAGTTGAGCCATAGCTGCTCTGGTCTTTGCGATGACAGCTTCCATGTGGGCTTTCCAGGTGAGGGACTTGTCAAATACGATCCCCAGATATTTGACTTTGTCGCTCCACTGGATATCTTCGTCGAAGATGGATGCTTCGAGAGGTCTTGCAATCCTTCTTCGTTGAATGGAGTGCCTGCGTCTTCTGGACGTTGATGCGGATTTTCCATTTCACGCACCAGTCCTGGATGTGGTCCAGTTCATCCTGTAGTCTCCTACGGATGATCTCGGGTCGTCTGTGCTTGGCGGCTATAGCAGTGTCGTCTGCATATAGGGCCAGCATTGTGTCAGCTGTCTTCAGCACATCGTGAGTATAGATGTTGTAGAGCAGGGGGCTAAGGCTGACCCCTGGGGCACGCCTGCTTCCAGCTGTCGTCTTGTTGAATGGCATGTACCAATCTTCACCGTGAACCATCTTTGTGTTAGATAGCTCTGGATCAGTTGGCACATGTTCGCATCGATTCCGGCGGCTTCCATTTTGGCGATGAGTCCATCGTGCCAAACTCGATCGAAGGCTCGTTCCACGTCCAGCAGGACGAGACCGGTTGCCTCCTGGAGATTGAAGCCGCTGGTGATGTTTTCTGTCAGTCGTAGCGCTTGGAGCTCCGTGTTGTGGGAGGATCTGAAGCCGAATTGCTCTGGAGGGAGAAGTTGCAGTTCTTCTGCCTGCTTCTCTAGTCGAACGGCGATAGCCTTTTCGACTACTTTGCCCATCGAGGAAACCAGGCTGATGGGCTGGTAGTTCTGGGGCAACTTCCGGTCCTTGCCTGGCTTGGTGAGCATTATAACCTGGGCTTCCCGCCACCGCCGCGGGAAGTGGTTAAGTCTCAGAGTGGCATTGGCGATGTTGGTGAGCGCAGCAATGCCTTTGGTGGGAAGGTTCTTCAGCATCCTGTTGTTGATGCCGTCCCTTCCCGGCGCCTTTTGACCTTCAACCTGCGGATGATCAGACGGATTTCCTCTGGACTGGAGGGGTGATCCGTCTCCTGGCCAGGTGGTCGACTCCTCATGATGTCGGCTGCGACTTCCACGGCCTCCTCGTGGTTTTCGTCCTCGTCTTCATGGTAATTGAGTCTGCATTCGGATTCTAGCGAATCGGCGAATGCTTCGGCTTTTTCTTCACTGGAGTAGGCCAAGCCGCGTTGGCCGTGAAGAGTGGGGATCGTGGTGCGCTGACGACGAAATTTTCGCTGCATAGTCCAGGCCGTACCATCCTGGGTCTCTAGTTCTGCACAGGCTGCATTCCATCTGCTGTTTTGGAGTTCCGCGAGTGCGTTCTTCAGAGCTAGCGATGCTCTGTTTCGCGCAACTCTCGACTCCTCTGTCAACAGCTGGAGATGTTGTCGCTTGAGTCTTCTGTTCTCCCTGATCAGGTGCCTAATATGGTGCGGTGCTGGACCATTTAGGTGTCTAGGAACTGCCGTAGTCTCGGAGCGGGTGCTGTCCTCGTGCGCTCGCAGGACAGCATTCTCCAGCTCCTCTACTGCGTTGTCCAGTTCCTCCGCTGATCGGATGGTTGGAATTTGAGTGATGTTCCTTTGGACGTTGAGACTCTTCCCGACAAACGATGCGGACTATATACCCCACGGCCGCGAGAGGGAAGCGGAGTACGGAATACGGTGGAGTAGCAGAGCGAAGACAAGTCTAGTGCAGTCAATGGTGACATAAGAATTAGTCAGACATAAATAGTCGTGTGTATAAATTTTTTATCAAGTTAAATAAATCAATGCATTTCTTTTTGTGGAATCCAGTGTTTTAATCCACACCCAGTTCTTAAAATTTTCATGCTGCTCCCACTCAGCCTTGTATTTTTGGGAATATATTTTTTTCTTTCGAGGCTGGTTGGTCTTCTGGATCTTACTGGATACTGAATTATCAGAATCAGGAGTGGAGTCTAATTCACTTGTACTCGGTCTCGTTTCCTCGGATTCTTCTTGAACTGAAGTAGACGCTTTGCTTGGATCTGGTTGTGGAGATAATGGCCGAACTGCGTCATCTGTTTTCTTAATTACCAAAATATTTTTCATAATTTTGATATCTGATGGCCTGAAAACCAAAAAGAGATTTTAGCCTTTATTACAAACTAATTTTTGCCTCAATTAGGTATTAGCATATTTTTATTGTTAACGTTGACTCATCAAATATTTTTTAAAATAAATTGTTTAAAAAAAAAATCAAATACGTACACTGTGTTCCAGTTTGCTTGTAATTGCAGGGTATCTTGGATATTTTTAAAGATGGAACTTTACAGTTTTTAGGAACCTGTGCCATTTTCTTGCTCACATTTTATTCCATACTCATATTAATGTTCATATCCAAAGTGCAAATAATCCATTAATAAAAAAAACTAAGTTAGGGTCATAGCTCTTGAACGACGCCTCTGATTTATTTTCGAGCACGCCGCTGAATATGCAGAAGTATCTATCTATAGCAGTTTTCACCTTTTTTCTATCTTATACAGGGTACGGGCTGACAGTGCCCTAAAAAGTGAACTTTTTCGTTATCACCCTGTATTTCAGTGGCAAAACGAGTTAGCTTAAGGCGGCTCCGACGCAGTAAGTTTCAGGCCAATTACAAGGGTTCAGCTGCTTCAAAACTGACACTCTATTTTTCAATATTTTTCAATGAAATTTATGCAGTATGTTGAGAAGATAATTGTCCAGGGTGCTATAGGAGCACTTTTTGAAATTTTGTTTTTGCACAAGTTTTATGATGGGATGAAGTGCGCACTTTTTCTGTTCAACTTCGCGATTTTTTTAAAAAGAACCTAGTGAAAAAAATGAAAAAGTGGCTCTATAGCACCCTGTGGGGTTTTGTTTTCAGCACACTGTGAAAATTTCATTCAAAAATGTCAAAAAATAAAGCGTCAATTCCGAAGCGCGCAAACCTCTACAAATCGTATTTTGGACGAATTTTGTCTACTGTTTGGTGCTGCCAAAACAAGGGTTGCGGCGCAATGTACGGACTAAGAAAGGACGTATTCAGATAATTTGGTGGCCCTATTTCATACAATATCTCGTAGATAACTCGTTCTGCAAATAGGTACTCACAATCGCGATCTCTGATACTCCTCGATCTTAAAGCCGTTTTACTTCCCACGCCATTGGCGAGGAAGTATTGTAATCGCGGAAAATTTCTAAAATGAGATGTTATGTTTTTTTACGTCATATATCAACTTGGAAATTACCGCTCGGATTTTTATGAAATTTCCATACTGCCAAAGCTTTCTAGTTCTACTCCACTGGCAACGGTGCTATAGACAAAAAAGAAAAAATAACAATTGCTGAAACTCCATTTTTGACGTATCAGAGGTTCCTAATCATTGACAATTGTACTGCTTAAAAAGGGGGGGGGGTGAAATCAGTGAAACACGTTCTATTATTAAGAAGCTTTTGATCCCAGTGATTACAGAAAATTTAAGTAACGAAAATCCGACGAATAATGTGCTCACGATTTGAAAAAAATCGGTATCTGCTCTATAGGTTTGACACCAAGAGCCAACAGAACTGCAACTACCGACAGTAGGGAAGAATAAATTCGGATATCACTCCAGTCAAGTATAGGGGAATTTAGCGGGGAACTTTAAAATTATCGATATGTCAAGGAAATATGTTCTTGAGAATGATAATTTGGTAGATTTTATACCTGCATTTTCATTTGAATTTCATGACCCGTGAAATGTACCCATTTCACCGTTACCTTCAATTTGTGTACTGCAGTTTGTGATGTTTTTCTGGATATAAGCAGGACATGATTGCCTAGGGTGCTATCAGAGCTTTTTACAAAATTTTGTTTTTGCGCAAGAATTGTGGTGGGTTGAAATGCTTACTATTTGTGCTCAACTTCTTGATATTTTAAAAAGATCCTAGTGGATAAAATCGGAAAAGTGAATCGCTGGCACCCTGTGGACTTTGTCTTTAGCACGCTGCAAGAGTTTCATTTAGAAATAATAAAAATTAAACGTAAGCTGTGAAGTGTAGGTAAATCGGTTTTTGAGCGAAATTCATCTACTGTTTCAACCTGCTAGTCCAAGCGTCGTAACGGTGCGTTCCGACTAAGAAAAAATGTATTCAAATAATATTATATCTTTCCTAAAATAAATTCAAGAATTCAAATTCAAATTCGTTTATTTATGTCAATAAACAAAATTATGTTTACAATTGTCATGTGGTAGATGGTAACAATTGAACGGGAGTCATAAAAATATCCTACGCAGTCAAAACATGAGGAAGCAGTTAGGTAGTTTTTGCAAAGCAATAAATAGGTAGGCTTATACCTGGATTAAGTACATGTCTTGTCTACTGTAATAGGTAGATGGAGGTGATGCTGCCAGAAATGGATGTGTGCGATCAATAAACAAACCACAAGATTGAACTGCCGTGTCCATGTGTCCAATGATTTTTGTATTGCCCTTTTTTATTGCCTTACTAGAAAACTCTGTTGGGTATATGATGGAGTTTACTAGAACTTTACAGCTTGTTGTCTGATTTCTTCTACAAACTTCACCAAATCGAGACGCTGTCAACCTTATCCTCTGATGAAGACGCCACAAAGTACAGTCCTGTGATTTGGTGACTTGTTCGATCTGCAAAATTTCATCGTCACTTTTTTTAAGTTTCCCTAAAAATTCTTGCTCAGCAACCTCCAAATCAATGTCGTTCATGTCAGGTTTTTGACAGAATTGCCATAAAACTATTCATTTTCTTTGGAATTGCTATCCGAATTGTTATTTTTATATCAGCTTTTTTTGGTCTGAGTTTCTTTTGAAGATTCTTGCGTTTGAGTCTTTGTTCCATCTTAGTGATAAGCGAGGTTGGACTAAGCTTAGCACGCAAATGTATTTGAACCACATAGACAGGCCGCTCGGTATTGTGGCTCACTACAGCTGCAGCACGTTTTCCATGGTATGACCTCTTCTTGCAATAATTTATTCGCTTACCCCAATGTATTTTGCAATTATAGAGTTGAACTGCTCCACATTATTGTTGTCCTCATCATGAATTAAGCTCACTGCATTCGTAATTAAAATTGTCGCATAAGACCTTTTATTGTCCATTATCAACCTTGATAAAAAAAGGCACTCAAGAACAATCACACCAACAAAAGAGTACAGCACAACAATTCAACAACACAATATCGACGAACAGTAACCAGGGTAGAACAATACTAAATGATCACTTGCTGAGTACCAAAATAGGAAACGATTAACGGACTAGATCGCTAATCGAAATCCGACTCTGTTATTATATAAATTTACCTCGGCACGCACCCGCAGTCATCCTTTCCTCTTTTAAAGTAGCGCCGACAACCATCTAAGACCTGCCCACCATCGTTTCCTTTTCACCCCCCCGTTTTCTCAACAGATGGTACTCGAGATTGTAGGAGCCCCGTTAAAGGTTGATTCTCACTATACATTCCATTTCCATTCCATATCAGTTTCGTAAACGTTCCGTACAATGTGATTGTATAGGTACACAGTATACCTTATAGGTCGTCTACACGGGCCATAGAAAATGCAGATTTTTGAAAACATTGCCGGGTTATGTAGCCGGGCAGCATGGCCCAGCAACTGAATTTTTACATATTGCCAGGCCACATTCTGGACGAGTATGTCCGGACATCGTTCTGCAACATATGGCCATAGCAAATTTGCATTTACACTAGACAACATTCACACAAATAGTTGCTTTATCACCATGGATGATCTAGTGCTTATTGCGGCTGCTATCATTGTGTTAAAAAGAAACCGAACACTAAAAAAAGAAAAAAGTTGTGGGTTAGGCCTTATAAGTAAAAGGCTTACTTTACAAAATCTAAGTGAAGAGTTATCTCTCGACAATTATTTATTCAAAAACTTTACGAGAATGGATAAAACGGATTTTGAATTTTTACTAAATCGAATTGGACCGAATATTCGAAAGCAGGATACCAACATGCGAACAGCGATATCAACTACGACAAGACTAGCTATAACACTAAGATACTTGGCAACTGGTGAGAGCTTCAAAAGTTTGATGTATTTATTTAGGGTGTCTGATTCAGCTATTTCACTGATAAATAATCGCAGAAGTATGCAGAGCACTGGTGATAGGATTAAAAGAATTTATTCAGGTGAGTTAATATTTTTATTTATATTACTTCATCAGAAACAAAAGATATGCTAACTTAATAAAAGACACTAGCTAGATAAATTCGCTAGTGTTTTTCATTTAGTTTCGTCTTGTGAGAGTTTCTGCAGATTGAAACAGGGGAGGATCTTCGCTGCAGTAAGATTCCACCAGTGTACGATAGTTGGAAGCAATCGAAATATGTTTATACAAAACATTGTTAACATCCCACAATTCTGGACTTAAATGTATAGCGTTAATTAAATGTAAAGTCTTTTCGTTAGTCCAATTAGTCATTTTAAATTAAGAAAATTCACCACAAAACAACACTCGAATGACGCGCGGCTAAAGAAGTGAAGCGAGACAAATACAAAGATGGCTGAGCCATGTTGCTGAAAATTCGCAAAGCGGTCGATCTCTCGGCCACTTGCCGGCCAGTGTTGCCGCACTAAAGAAATGCCAGGATATATTGCTCGGCCATATTGCAATATTTTGGTTATATTGCCGAATGTGGCTGGCAAGTTGCGAGCCATCATCCGGCCATATGATGCCGCCTACAAAATGCCGAAAATTATGGCCCGTGTAGACGACCTATTACGGATAATGTGCATACATACGCAATTGCCTGCTTTAAGCGAAGGCGAATATTTAATTTCAATAATTTACGGAATGGAAACGGAATGTATAGTGAGAATCAACCTTCATATCTGTTTGTAGGATTATTAGTTTAAACAGTTTTCTGTAGCAAGAATTAGAGAGATCCTAGTCAATATTAGCCGCTGCTAGATGGCGCGGTAGAATTTACTGACTGTTCCATCCATCCTAAATACGAATTGCAATGATTATTATAATACATAACGGTCTCAAAGGCTGAAAGCCAAAGAAATTTCTAGTAGATGATTGCTTTTGTTGTTTCAGTTATATTTTGTATTTCTGTATTTAAAGCGACATCTTATAGTCA